TCAAGGGAAGCCTTTAAGACAACAGCAGGGAAGGAAGACAGATTTTGGAGGGTTAGTTAGGGACTGAGTAACTAGGGAAAGAAGACAGCAGGCAGAGCTCATAAATTTGAGGAATTTTATGGTGAAAGGAAAACATGAGATTGAATGGAAGCAATAAGGGGTAGTAGGAGCAAATAAATTTCTCTTTCTTCCTTCCTACATACATACCCTAAAGATAGCACAGACCTGTGCATATTTGAAAGTGGAAGGGATAAAATCTGAATCTGGTCCAATCCCACTCCACCATGAAATACTGACTATAAACTAGATGATGTAACGAGGTAACAAGGATACAAAAAGAAAATTTAAGTCTCTGTCCTCAAGGAATTTACATTCTATAAGAAGAGAGTGAAGACGCTAGAAGGACAAATATCTGAACTATAGAATAGAGCTGAAAAGGACTTCAGTGATTACTGAATCCAATTCCTTCACTTTAAAGATAAGGAAACAGGCTGAAATACATTCCAGAGTCACAGTCAGATAGAGGAAAAGGTAGGATTAGAATTCTAGTCTACTGACTCCAAGGTAATGCTCACTCCACCTCATTACACTGCTTCACTAATTGTGACTGAGCTCCTAGAAAATCAGGGAAAGGATGGGGTCTAGAACACAGGTAAACGGATGTTTAGAGAAGAAAAAAAGGAAATTCTTCTTAAGATTGATGGGAGGGATGAAAACGTGGATACACTGACAATGAGACATTATGGTAGGATGCAGGCAGGCAGAGAACTCATGCTGGATGGTACTGATCTTCTCTACAAACAAGAGGCAAGGACATCTACTGAGAGAATATGGGTTTGGGGGAAGAGCTAGAGTTTTATGAGAGAGGTCACAGACTAAAAACTATGGGAAGTGTGTTGAAATGCCATGGAGAAAGAAGAAATAATTTTAAAATGTTTACTATACATTGTTATACTATTTGCTAGAAATAGCGAAAAAAAGTTTTATATTTGTGTTTACAGAACAATCCAAAACACACTGCTTTACATTAAGACCTCAAAAATATGAAAGAAAAATTGTTATCTAATAAAGTTACAATGTACACATCAGGAAGAAGACAGTTGTTCCAAAAAGTGAACTAAAATGAGCTCTGTTTTTTCATTCATTAGCTCAGAAAAGCCAATGAGCAGCCTTCCATGGGTTTATATCAGAGGAAAGGAGAGTTGTTGAGAAATTCATGCTCCTACCATATTACACTGGATTTTTTTATTGTTTTCTAGGTGACCAGAGATGTTCAGAGAGAAAGAGGGCATCAGTTTGGATTGGTAAGAGAACTAAGTTTAGACCTAAGAATAGAATTAGGGGCTAATAGCCTATAAAAAAAAAAGTTTTAAATTTGGGACTAGGAGATTTATTTTTTATGTTGAAGAAGAAAAGTGAAATTTAGTAGCTCTGCAAAGAAAAAACTAAATAACTATCTGACAATCTAGAACTGTGTTAATTATGAAGTAGCTCTAATTGTTAAAAAAAAAAAAATTACCTGAACACCTGAAATTCAATGTTTTAGGATAACTGTCACTTCCTTGAAAATTGGAAGCTTCTTTGCTGATTATGTCTGAACACAATGCAAGTGGATCTGAAAAGCAATATTATAAAATACAAGATTTATCTACATTCACGATAACAAAAAGGGCTTAGCATCTGTAAAGGGCTTTTCCTCCCCCAGGATGAGTGTACTGAAGTGCTCCATCCTCTACATTTTAATGGGTTTCTCCTAAAACAGACCCCCACTGCTCAAATAGAGATGAAGTTTTAGAAAGAGAATGCTTTTACCAGACAGTGATGAGAACAGTGGTGTTAGGCCATCATTGAAGGAAGGGAGAAGAGATACATGAGTATTATTATTAGCTGTAATACCCAATTAAGTATTTTGGCTTAAAAAAGGAAATGAAAAATTTTGTCACTGTACCTGTTACTGGTGACTGATGCTTTCTATTTCTGACAACAGGAGCTGGACATTTACAAGCTTGTTCACTAAAAGAAAGTGGAGATTAGGGTATTAAAAATAAAATATAACATTAGCAATGAGGGCAAAGCACTTTTTATGAACAAAGCACAGTAAGAATGCTCAGTATTTAGCAAGCAGAAGGGGAGCAGTAGGCGCGGCAGGGGCTGACTACATACATCTGGAAGAGTTTGTAAATTCAGTAGCCCTGAATATAATCTTCGGAGCCACTGGCAGACCTAAGATATTCTGAGAGGAGAAAGAATAAAATCAGAGATAAATGAGAAGAAGTGGTTAAGAAAGAAATAAAGGAATAAAAGGAGGAAAACAAAGAGAAAAGAAGTGGCCAAAGTATAGAGTGTTAACTCTCTACTTTTAGCTCCTGCGTTTATTTTCAGAAGAATCTGGACATGGCATCAGCATGGATTAGAGGGGGAAGAAGTAGAGAGATCAATGAAAAGACTGTTACAGCAGGGTAATAGGAATCAGAGGAGACCAAGTAGCATAGCCCCAGATGAGGAAACTGAGGCTCAAAGATAGGAAATGGTTTCCTAAGGCAGAGGAGGGCCTGGTTGACCTAGATCAGGCTGACATCAGCAGGTCAATGGAGGATGGAGGTGAAAAGCAGAAAACAGCTGCCACAAAAAGGCCAAAGCTTTGGTAAGGCAGGTTGATTCACACAAGAGCCAAAACCCTGAGCATCCCCTATCTTACCTCCTTTCACTCTGAATTGACACATCTACAACTGATTTTCCCATCCATCGCAGCATATGTGGATTTTGGTAGTCTGAAGAAACCTCAGTGCCAGCATGGCCTGGCCTTTAGATTTACCTGGGCTCAGCTCCCAATCTATATACTGCTTCTTCTTCCCTCAGGCAGAGGTTGCTCTTACTCTGGACTCAGTGTTTGCCTAATAAATGGCATACATAGGACCAGAGGGCCTACATGACAGTTACTTCCAATCAGCAGGTATTTTAGGTGTTACTCAGCAGAAACTGTCAGAATTGCCCACCCTCATGGAAATGAAATCCTCTATCTCCCAAACATAGGTGAATCTAACATGATATTACATGGGTGAGCCACCTCAGCTGCAAGGGAAACTATTAAAGAAAACTGGGAACCAGAAGGCATCATGATTGAACTAAGGCTGAAATAGAGGGGTGAGGAGGTGGGTTTGAAGGCTCTGGCCACCATGAGAAGTCAAATAGTGTTTTCCTCTCCATCTTCAACATTTTCATATAGGCATAATCAAGTTAAAATGAGAAAAAAGAAGGGAAAGAAATGATCAGAGAAAGTTTAAGATGTTCAGTGGCATTTAGAACACTGGAAGGACAGTGGAAATGAGTCTTCTGGACTCAGCATCTTATCTGTGTAAGGAGCACTAGGTTAGTACGGTGCAGCAGAATGAGTGCTACATTTAGAGGCAGACAATCTGGGGGCCAATGCCAGTCCTTTAGCTTAAAACATAGGTGACCTTCATCTCTAACATCCCTTCTGACTCTAAATCCCATGAACAATTCTTTAGCATCAGTTGACAAAACTATTTCCCCATCCCTGACTCTGCCCGGTCACCAGCAGCAAGGAGGTCTTGCTGGCTCTTGGCTGAAAAACTGTAAACAGTGGCCAGAAGAACAAACAAACAAAAAACACGGGGCCAAATAGAGAAGAGTCAACAGGAAAAATCAAATGGTCTGACTAGGGACTACATACTTAAGAAAGAAAGGTTCTTTCAAATCTGGCCTCAGACACTTAACGCTTACTAACTGTGGGCAAGTCACTTAACCCTATTGCCTCGCTAAAAATCAAAACAAAACAAAAAAAGAAAGAAAGAAAGAAAGGTTCTAGACATGCTCATGTTCTAGACTCTGCTAAGTTCTGGGGATAAAGGCAAAAATGACAGTTCTTGCCCTCACGGAGTTTATATTCCACAGAGGGAGATAACATGTACTTGTACAATTATAAGCAAAATAAATAGAAAATAATTCAGGGAGGAGGAAGGCTCTAGATGCTGTGGGAATCAGGAGAGGCCTCACATATGTCATTATCTCAAGGATGAACTATGTACATAAGACTGAAGAAAATTTCTGTTTTGTCTAATCCCCACAAACTTCTCTATCCAAAGTAAGCATCTTTCAGTAAGCATTGCTAACTGGTTCTGACTTAATGGCTTCATCTGCCTGTTCTTCTTACCTCAGTAAGAACCTGGACCAGCACAAACAGCTGAGTACCCGACTTCTACTTCCTGTTGAGGACTCTGTGCTGATCACATCAACCCCTGGAATGATGTGGAGCCTCCAGAAACATTTAAGGGTTTTACCTAACTATCCAGAAAGGAAAAACCAAGGGGATAAAGGCTCTCTGTTGTTGCAGACACTGATACACAGTGGGAAAGCCAGCCAACAGATCAAGGACAAGCACTGAAGATGGATAATGAGCTGTCCTAGAATTTAATAAGAGAAATAGAGTGGGAAGGAGTAAATCTGGGAAATTGTGCAATGCTTTCAATAACTCCAGGCTTCTTCCTGAAATAAAAACTGATCTTTGTAATGCCAACAGTATTCCAATGATGCAATAGAGCTATAAATCATTGAAGAATCAAAATTACTAGTCACCCAAAGGGCAAAGGAGAGGTACCTGATGGACATAAATAGGCTGCAGCATATTTTTTGTTCAATCATTTTTCAGTTGTGTCTGACTCTTCACGACCCCATTTGGGGTTTTCTTGGCAAAGCTACTCGAGTGGTTTGGTATTTCCTTCTCCAGCTCATTTTACAGATGAGGAAACTGAGGCAAACAGGGTTAAGTGACTTGCCTAGGCTCACATAGCTTGTGTCTGATGCCAGATTTTAACTCAGGAAGAGGAGTCTTCTGACTCCAGGCCCAGGACTCTATCCACTGCACCACCTAGCTGCCCCCATAGGATATTACCAACAATGAACATAACCAAAGCTGCATGAAATATATAATCAAAGAGTTATATAACCAGAAAAGGGGTTGAATATGTCATATGATAAGATCAGCAGATTACAAATGGAGAGCCCACAGACTGCACAGTAATGTCAAAAGTAATGTCAAAAGATCTAAAGGAAAGCCCCCAGCAAGCTGGGGGGACTTCCAGTAGAGAACTGACAGGAGAACACTGACAAGGGTGTCACAGAATGAGAAGAGGTGAGTGACCTGGGATCTGTACAAGTGCAGGCAATACCAACATCAATAACATCACAGATCCACTGAAGCAGTATGAATGTGGGATGTGTTATATTAATATTAAACATGCCTGCTTCATTGCTCTTTGCTTAGGTTTACCTTTCACATACTGTACCTTGCTTGTAAGGACAAAGCCCTCTTTTCACAAGCCGCTCCTCTGTATAAGCTATGCCTTCTGGGGGCACTGGCAGTCGATGGCGCACTAGTGGTGCTCAGAACATTGGCGGGCCCACATTTTTTATAACAGGCGCTGACTGGATTTGCCCTGTCACTCCTCGATGGGTTCTGGGGCTCATGCCCTACAGGGCCATCACACCGCTCTGCAGCATTCGGCTCACAGCTCTGAGGCTGACACTGCTTTTTGGGGCAGCTTCTTTCTGCATTAGTACCTCTATCAATGCTATCCACTCTAGAGTGTTTTGACGTATTTTGGGTACTTAAGCTCGTTGGCAAAGAATCACCAACCAATTCTCTTCTTTCTATTTTTTCCTGTAACAGAAAAATGTCAAGTAAATAACTCCAAGAAGATCTATTATCCACGTTTTGCTTTTCCTTTCATTCTCTACACAAGAAATAGGTGAATTTTATAAAGTGTAACAGAAATACATTTTTATAAGTAATCGGAAACATCTCCATTTTAGATTGCGAAAGGGAAAAATAGGCAAACATTTTATAGAAAACAAAAAATATATGAAGAGAGAAATTATTTCATTTCTTTGTGTTGTCTTCTATACAGGTCTCAATGCAACTGTAAACGTTAGCTAGCATCACGGGCAAAAACCCATAGCAGTATATTGAAAAAAGCCCCACACTTGGAGTACTGACACCACGTCCCAATCCTGGCTCCAAACCTTGTTACCTATGTGACCAAGGGCAAGTTGGCTCGCCTCTCTGAGCCTCAGTTTCCTTACTTACACCAGGTGATGATCATGCTTGCCTTCCTTATCTCACAGGCTGTTACGGTGAATGCTCAATAACATGTAAACCCTGAAGGAATGGGAGCTATTCTATATTAGAAGGGGGAAGCTGATTTTTGCTAAGTCTAAGAAGGAGCTTCCTGGCAACGAGACATGTCCACCAATTTTCTGGGGGACTGCCAGGTACCAATCCAGAAGGTAGATGGATGCGCATCCAGCTCCACAGAACTTCTGCAGAAATGGATTCTGCCAGGGCTAAGCCCAAGGCCTTGACCTTCAAAAATGCCTTTTATATTCTTTCATCACTTTCAGGAATGGGGAACAGAGGTTTATTTGCTGTTCTAAATAGTGAGAGGCCTGGACCCTCATATCTAATAGATTGTAAGCTCCTCAAGGGTTTACTGTCTTATTTATCTTTGTGTCTTCCCAGGAGCCAGCAAAGAACAGTCATTGAGAATATGCCTGTTTTTTAGTGAATATTAAATCAAAGCCTCTTCAACCTGGCCAAAAGCAAGAATAATGATGTTTATAAAAAGAGATTCTGGTAACATTAACACTAAAGAAGAGGAAGGAGAGATCTCTGTGATACACAGACATTTACATATACGTATATAAGTAAGCCTCATGAGATAGTGCGGAGAGCACTAGCTATGAAGACTGAGGATCCAAGTTCAAATTCTGTCACTTTTACCCATGAACAGTGTGACCTTAGGCAGTTGAGAATGCAGGAGCCTGATCAGATCATCGCTAAGGTTCCTATTGACTCTAAAGGTATGATCCTACCACATGTATTTACACACACATACATTTGTGCACTCATGCACACTCATGTGCATACATACAGTGAAGAATTGAAATGATCTGTTCAACCATCCTTGCTAGCTAGTCTTGTCTTCTCCAAAAGCTTCTTTTTATCATGGTCTATATTTTCAAATGAAAAGTTTTGATCACATGTTTCATATGCTCATATTTCTCCCACTTGTGATAGAACCATCTAGAAAGGATTTTTGCCTCCAACCTTAACAAAAATCTTTGCAAGAGGCTTTATGTTCCTGAAAATAAGCAGGCTGACCTCATCTTCTTTATTTTCAAGCTGTTTTATTCTGTGAAGAATTTCTTTTGCTTTCCTCCAGAAGTCTTCAATATTCCTCTCTCTCACCTTCAATTCTTTTAACTCTTGTGCTTCATTCATATTAGAAGAAAATTCTTCTAGGTTTAGAGATAATTTCTCTGCTTTTATAAAACAGAAAAAAAGTGGATAGTTTATCATTTACTACAAAGCTTTATCATTTTAGTGATTTAACTAGGCAATAAAACAAAAAAAAAGTTGCTCGTCTACTCATCTACCACCTTTCCAGCTTATCTTCATGAAAGATCTCGAGAAGCATTTAATATATGGCTACTGTGCACAGAATACTATGCTAGGTACTGGGAGAAAGAGATAACAGACTTTAGATAAGATAAAATTTAGTAGGAAAATGACATATATGAATAGTCATGAAACCAAATCATATCTGACTGGCCATATTTATTTGTTATCAGGGAAGGCTTTTATTTTTGTTTCTTGGGGGAAATTTGGAAATGAGCATGGGGTAATGATAGTGATATTTCAAAAAGAAAGGAAACAAAGAAAGAACATTAATGAATCATTAAAAAAAACCAAACAGAAGAGAGCAAAAGGAAGTTCAGAATGAAATAAAAACAGGGTGGTGTTAGAACTACCATGTTAAATTTAAATTATACAAAAAAAGATGTATGTAGTGGGAAAAAAAGAACCTAAACATAATAATTTAATTTCATAAACAATTCCCTTTTTCTTATTCTTTTCATGTTAAAATGATCTTGTTTGTTGATGTTGATTAAGTTCTTATGAAAAGGAAAATGAATTTTTTGAAAAGACACAATAATACATGATAAGTACATTATAGAAAAGGTTATATAAAGTCTGAGGGGGAAATCAATAGTAAGGACCAAGAAAGACTTCATGGAGGAGCAGGCATTTCACAGGATCAAAGAATGTCAGAGTTCAGCAGAACTTCAAAGGTCATCTAATCCAACCCCAAAATTAACATAAGAATCTTCTTTTAAAGGAAATTGCTATCTTTTATTTTTATATCATCTTCATTTCCAAATATAACTATTTCTTCCTCCCATATCCTGGAGAATCTTATAACAGAGAATAATAAAGGAGAGAAAGCATATTAGCAGAACTAAACAACAAATCAATCTAGTCTGACTGTATGGGTAACGTTCCACAATCCACCACGAATGTAGGGAAATCCACTTTTTTCTTTGGTGCCAATGCAAGAATGTTTTCTAGAACATACTGAACAAGTGACCATCCAGCTTTTGCCTGAAGAAGTTTAGTGAGAGCGAAGTCCACTACCTCCCAAGATAGCCCATTCTACTTACAACTGGGTAGCTCTAATTATTAGGAAGTTTTTTCCTTACAGTGAGCCTAAATCTGCCTCTCTGTACCTTCCACCCACATATCCAGCTCTTGGAGGTCATGGGGGGTCAACTTAACTCCTTTTCTATGTTATAGCTACCAAGACTCTTCTCTCCAAGGTAAATATCCCCAATTCCTTCATAGGATCATAGCTATAGAACTGGAAGGAATCTTACTTCACTACCTTCATTTTCTTCTTCAGCAAACTGAGTCTCAAACAGGGTAAGTGACTTCACTAAGGTATACCATTAAGTAGCAGAGCCCTGATTCATACTCAGGTCCTCCTCCAAAGTCAATATTCTTTCCATCACACCATGCTCAGATTTATAAAATGCTTTTAGGTTACTAAGGGTTTTCTTCTTCTTTACCACCAACATAAATGCAAATAAATCTATATAAAACTGGGAAGAACTGTTTTTGTTTTGTTTTGATTTGTTTTTTATATCAAGAGTAAACTTACTAATTTTTTTGCAGTTGTGCAGCACAAAGGTAGCAGCTTTGTTTAGTTCCTCATTCTGTGATTCAGTTAAGACTTGGATCATTATTGGAAGACCATTGTTCTTAAATAGATGAAGCTGATTTTCTTCTATAAAATATAATATATGATGTTAGATAAAATTGTGACAGCAAATTATTTCATCATTAAATACTCTAAACCACACTTTAATTCCTTCTTGCAGGAATTTTAAGCAGTTGCAAGAATTTCTAACAGATCACACAATTTCTCCCAATCAAAAATGTTGTTCATTATGCTAATAAAAAATTAAAGGAAAAAAAATATATATATAGAGAGAGAGAGTTCTAAAGCATTTTCAACCCAGGCAATAATCTATGCTCTAAAAATGTATCATTTTATCAAGTGATAACATTTTACTTTTGAACTTGAATATGTGTGTTATGTACAGTTATTAAGATATATATGTGTATCTAAACATACATATATATTACATACATATAGTTTAGATAGATTGCTGTACTTGCTTCAAAGATTTCTCTCTCTACTAATGCAGGTCACAGCCCTTCTACAACTGAGCAAATGGTCTTCAATATTTGCCGTGGATAAAAATACAAAAAAACAAAAAACAAAAAAAAATCACCCAGTACCTCTATACTCTAAGCTTTTCCAGCATGATTGGCCTAGACAGAGCCTTGTGCTTCATTAGCACAGCTTTTAAAAATCTAAGGTGCTCTCTGCATCTGTCAATGAAGGATTAAAGAGGAGTCCTTCTCTGAATTCCAATAAAACTTAGAATCAAACATAACTTCAAACTTGCTTTCATTACTCTAAATGTTTTTTGCTTATACAAGTCCTATCTACCTCATTAGATTATAACTCAAAAAGGGCAGGGAATATATCTTCTATTATTCTTACATTCCATAGTTTTTAGCACAATGTTGAACACATAGTAAGTAAATATTTGTTAAAATAATGTGGCTAACACTTTGTGAGGAAGTCAGATTTTTATAAATAAAATTCCTAAAACATATGTGACAAGTACTCAATAAATATTATATGATGGAAATAACTTTTTCTTAATTCTTTACTTTTTTCTTGTATTGTATTTTCCCCACAATTTCAAGTTTTCCACTTAATTATATAAGAGATTCATGGTTTTTGTTTTCTGCATATTCCCAAATTTGAATAACCATTTGAAAAGACAGAAATTTTAGAGCCCTGTAAGGAAACATCATTATAATTTGAAGTTCATGATACCTATTATAGGTTTTACCTTACAAAATAATAGCTATAATTTACATTGTGCTTTAAGGTTTGCAAAGAACTTTGCAAATATTATCTTGCTTGATCCTCACAATAATCTTGCAAGGAAGGTCCTTTTGTTATCCCTATTTTACAGAAGAGGAAACTGAGGCAGACAGAGGTTAAATGAATTGCCCAGGGTCACACAGCTAATAAATTTCTGAGATGGTATTTGAAATCAGGTCTTCTTGACTTCAGGTCCAGCATCTATCCACTGTACAACCTAACTTACAGTTGGCTAGGAAGATAGGAAACATGTTAACATGTCATATCAATTTTATTTTCTAATGACAATATTCCAGTGGAATATTCAGCTCAAAACTAAAATGAGGGAATCAAAACAAAGAAAAAGAAATTGACAGGATGTGAATCTGTTAAAGACCAGGAAGTTATGTCTCAGGAGGATCTGTGGTAATTCTCAGGAGAATTCAGATCAGGGAACCTTCTAGACCTAGAAGGAACCAGAAAGATCATCTCGTTCTACAGATGAGGAAACTGAGCCTTAGAGAAGTTGAATGACTTGAATAAAGTATCAGTAGAAGAGCTAGGATTTGAATCAGGCCTAACTGACTCCCAGTCTATGGTTCTTTCCTATATTCCACGCTGGCCCAGGCTTATTACGGAACAAAACGTATGAAGTGCTTTCCTAGTCATCTGTGGTATCAAGTCCATTCAATGAAGCCCATACTTACCACAAGCTTCTGTGCAATGTCCAAGGGCAAGAATAATGCTAAATTGTTCTCCTGAATCCAGACTCTCATGAAGTAGCAGTGTCAGAAGCTTGGATACAATGTGATGTTTGGCTAGTACTACCCCAACAGCAGCTGTAAGCACAAAAGATCAAAAAAGAATAAGTATTAGAAAACTTCAGATATATATATGTATGTTGTCTATTTTCCAGAGTCTTCTCTAACTCCTTTTGGGAGATACATAACCACTGGGAGCTTGTGGGGAATCACATCTGCCTGCATAAAACCTCATTCCACCAGCACACTATGAAAGGCTGTCCTCTGAACAAGGAAGACATTCCCTCTCAGCCTCATCTGAACATATGTAGGCTCTGGTTCCTGGGATTCTTGTTGCATGACAAATGTCATGCTGATTACGTGGTAATATACTCTTCCTATTGTGCTTGGCCTTTGAACAGAAATGTGTCACCAGGTCATGATCTCGCTACTATTAATAATGCAAGGTTGCTCTCTATAGTAATTCCTCTCGACTTTTATATCTCTCATCAACCTTTCGTAGGCCCAGAAGCAATAGGGCAGAGAGAACACTGGCCTAACAGTCACAACATCCCGGTTTTAAGTTCTCACTCTGTCCTTCACTAGTGATATGACCTTGGGCAATTCACTTTCCCTCATCTGGAAGTACAGGGAGTTAAATGAGATTATCTCTACCATCCCTTCCAGTTCTAACATCCTAAGAGTCCTGGCTCTGCAGTCTATGAGATGGGTAACCTTAGTCAAGTGACTTAGCTTCTCTAAATCTCAGTTTCTCTATCTATAAAAATGAAAGATTATCTACCCCATAGAGTTGATAAATGAATTGATCAACAGACATTTATTAAATGCCTACTGTATAGCAGGTACTGCACTAGGCACTGGGGATAAAAATGCAAAGAATAAGATGATTCCTACTCTTAATAGAGCTAACATTCTAATGGAGTCAATAAGTACATATAGAAACACATACAGAACAAATACAAATAAATGCAAGGAAGTCAAGGAGGGAAGGAACTAGCAGTTGGGGATTCAGGAACGGCTTCATGTAGAAAGTGGTACTTGAGCTGAGTCTTGAAGGAAGAGAAAGATTCTATGAAACAGAGGAGAGGGATATATTACAGGTACTGGGGCAGCCAATACAAAGGCATAGAACAGGATACATAAGGGTCTGTGAAACAGAAGAACAGAAAGAATGTCAGCGTAGTTGAATTGTAGAGTGTATAATGTATAATAAGGCTGGAGAAATAGGATGGGACCAAGTTGTAAAGGCATTTAAAAGCCAGAGGCATTTATATTTTATGCTAGAGGCACTACGGAGACACTGGCTATTAATGAAAAAGGAAGTGAAATGGTCAATTTGACTTTAGGGAAAATCATGGATTTCCATGGAAGATGGAATGGATTGCAGGAAAGACTGAGGCAGGGAGACTGATTAGGAGGCCACTGTGATAGTCTAAATGAACATTGATGAGGGCCTCAACTAGGGCGATGGCTTGTGAATGCAGAAAGGGAGACATATTAGTAAGGTAGAATGGAAGAAATTTAGCAATTGGTTGGTTATGGGGGGGGGGGAGATTGAGGAATTGATGATAACACTGAGGTGGTAAATTTGGGAAAATGAAAGAATGGTGGGGATTTTGGGGATTCCAAGTGAAGCTTCAAAGAAGGAGTGGGTTTAGGCAAAAGATAATGGGCTCTGTTTCGGCCCTGTGGACTTTGAGATGTCTCTGGGACATCCAGCCTGAAATGTCCCAACAGGCAACTGGTGATGTGGAGATCAAAGCTCAGGGAAGAGACTGGGACTGGATATCGAGATCTGGTAGTTATCTGCATAGATATGATCATTAAACCTATGGAGGCTGATGAGGTTAGCAAGAGCCCTTTGCAATCTGGTTCCAGTCTATTCTTCTAGTCTCATTTCACAATCATCCCCCTCCTATGCTATATGTTCCAGCCAAACTGGCCTCCCTGCTATTCACCACACATGACATTCCCCTCCTGTGTCCAGGCCTGTGCCTGGAATCTTGTCCTTCCTCTTCTTCACCTCTTGGAATCCCAAGCACCCTTCAGGACTTAGCTGTAGTGCCACCTGTAACTCGACCCTTCCTGATCCCCAGTTAGCTGTGCTCTTTCCTACCTCCCCCCCCTTCCTTTCAGTTGACCACATGCCATTTCCCCCTCATACAATGGAAACTCCCTGGAGGCAAAGACTTTCATTTTTATCCTCTAACCCTGGTGGCCAGCACAGTGCCTGGCACACAGGACATAATCAATACAAATCTGCTACTTGATAGATTGATGTTGAATTCCCCAGTGGAATGTGTGCTCTTCGAAAAGAGGAATTGTTTCATTTTTATTGTTGTAGTCCCAGGGCCTAGCAGTGTCTTATTCAGAACAGATGCTTAAAAATACTTATTAATTTAACTAAATTATGCTTTGACTAATCACAGTTATTGGAAAGCACTACATTTATATTCACTCCAAATAAGTAAGGAACGCATAGACTGGACTTAGATCCCTTTCTTCTGTTCCTTCAACATAAGCATTTAGTTACTAGTGTGAAACCTTTATTTCACATCTACTATTGGTTAAACACAAGCAGTGGAAATAACTTCTCTACCATCACCAATGCTTTGGTTGATGCCAAACTTAAAGTTCAGCTCTCAATTGTCATTCTGTAAGTATGACACATGCAGATATTGGAATTCCATCACTCACGATTGTCAGCAATGCAGGCGTCCAGGGTCTTGGTCACCACCACTGCCAGTTTAGCACTGGGCAGGTTCCCATGGGAATCATGTTCCAGCTTTGTCAGAACTTCAGAGAGTATGGCCAGTCCACCAATAGATATAAAATGTTCCTGTACGTGTGCTCAGGAAATAAAGTAATAAGATCTTAGAACCAAAGAAAGTTAATTATGATTTTATCTAATTTATATACTGCTTGCAATAGTAGCTATACTTACCTTTTCTTCACGTGCCTAGTTTAAAAGTCCACAAGTTAAGGAAATGTTAAATATGCATGATGACAGTTAAATGCAGCTATCTGCCCGGATTGGAAGCTGGGGGGGCAGGGGGAGGTTGCACAGAAGAACAGCTCTACTCTCTTAGATGTTAAAGCCTTCCATGCCCTGAAACTCACTACCTTGCACCAATTTACAAATGGCATAGGGGATAAAGTGCTAGATTCGAAGTAAGAAAGAACCAAGTTCAAATCCTGCCTCAGGCACTTCCTTAGCTGTGTGACCCTGGCCAAGCCATTTAACCTCTCTCGGTTTCAGTTTCCTCATCTATAAAGTGAGGATGATAATAATGCCGACCTCACTGGATTGTTGTGAAGATAAAATGAGATACCATAGTCAAGTGTTTTGTAAACCTCTAAGCGCTATCTAAAGGCTGGCTACATTTGAGAAAACCAGCATGCCTTAGCCCTCTACGACTACCAAGAGCCCAGGTAGGTGGGGTCCACCGCTGCCTCTAGGGTTCTTAGCCCAGCACCTATTCCTTCTTTGCCAGCATCTCCCAGTGCCTGGTAGGTCCTCTTCTCCAAAGGTTTCCCTTCCATCTGTGGAGCCAGCACTACTTTGTGCTGTGTCACTGAACAATCTGAGCACTGTGGAAGGCAGAAGCCAGACAAGGGTGAGTAAGTCCTTAGTCATGCAAAAGTAATCTTCATTGCCCAGTGCCCTTTACTGGGTAAGACCTCCATTATCACCGAGCACCCAGGTAGGTGGCAGTGGCTGCTGACACAGAGACCCTTGCTCCAGCACCCATTTCTCCCTTTGCCATCCCTAATCCTAGAATGCTTGGGCTTCAAATCCAATCCCACCAAGGGACCAGATTTATAGGCTTCCTCTCCTCAGAACATCTTGCACCACACAGAGGCACTATCTATTCTGCCCTACCTCACTAACTCCTAAAAAATAAAATATTTCAGCCTGTTTGCCACCAAGATTCCATCTAAAATCGTCACCTCAGATACCAATCCTCCCATGGCTCCAAGTATATATTACATGTAGTGGGTGCTGAGTGTGGCTTCAAACCTGACCAGATGAGGTCCTGATCACTAAGAATTTAACAACCCAGATGCCTGACCCAACTCCTCAGCTGAAGAAAATAGGCTTTTGATATCCTCAGTCAACAAGAGACCCTTGAGGGCAGGAGCTTAAATAAACTAGCATTTTGCCTATCCTTTGGGGAGTAAAAGCCCACCAACTCCTATGATTCAGAGTCAGAGTTAGCTGAGACAACTCCCCTCCCCCTCCAAACATCATTTTCAGATATGACTGAGGTGTTGGTTTTGATGAATTGCTTTTTTTCCTTTTTTTTTTTTCATTTTTGTTACAAGGGATAACTCACTGGGTAGGAATATATTTAGAAATGAAAATGACAATAAAACAAAAGACAGCAATAAAAATAAAATAAACTTAAAAAAATACAAATGGAATCACCATATTTGTGTGCTACATGAAAAAATAAAAATGGCACTAAAGAAAACAAAAGTGGCCCTTTGACCCAGCAATAGCACTTCGAGGGCTATATCCCAAAGACATCATACAAATGGGAAAAGGATCCACATGTACAGAAATATTTATAGCAGCTCTTTTTGTGGTGGCAAAGAACTGAAAATTGAGGGAATTCCTCATCAATTGGGGAATGGCTGAACAAGTTGTGGTATATGAATGTAATGGAATATTATTGTGCTATAAGAAATGATGAGCAGGCAAACTTCAGAAAAACCTGGAAAGACTTGTATGAAATTATGCTGAGTGAAGTGAGCAGAACCAGGAGAACGTTGTACACAATAACAGCCACATTGTGCAATGACTAACATTGATACACTTAGCCCTTCTCAGCAACGCAAGGATCTAAGACATTTCCAAAGGTCTCATGATGGAAAATGCTAGCCACATCCAAAGAAAGAACTATGGAGTTTGAATGAAGATCAAAGCATACTATTTGCTATTTTTCTTCTTCTGTTTTGTTTTGTTTTCTCTTTCTGGTGGTTCCTCCTATTGGTTCTAATTCTTCCTTACAACATCACTAATGTGAAAATATGTGGCAGCTAGGTGGCGCAGTGGATAGAGCACTGGCTCTGGAGTCAGCAGGACCTGAGTTCAAAAAACTTACTAGCTGTGTGACTCTGGACAAGTCACTTAACCCTAATTGCCTCACAAAAAGAAAAGAAAATGTGTATAATAGGAATGTATATGGATAGCCTACATCAGATTGCACACCATCTTGGGGAGAGAGGACAAGAGGAAGGGGGAAAAAAATTTAAAACTCAAATGCTTATTGAAGTGATTGTTGATAAATTAAAATAAATTAATAAAAAAAGTTAAAAAAAAAAAGAAAAGTGGGAAGTGCAACTAGAGTAGCCCATGTATGTAGAGAAGAAGTCCATGCCATCTTAATAAGATAATTTTAAGGGTACTGAAGAATTTTCAAGATATCTAAAACCAGGGAAGATATCTAATGATTTGGAAAAAATTACCGGTATTATTGCGACCAAAAAAGTATGATCAAGAAAACAGCAAGAAATTCAGGTCCATATATCTGCTTTCTCATGACTAGAAATTTTTATAAGAATAATTTCTTTGGCTCACCTATTTGTTCAAATGTAATATGGTCACTAACAATGAACTATTAATATTATGAAGCAAAAATATGACCATTTAAGCAAGCTTAGTCAATTCACTGTGCTTACTGACTACAAAAAAAGGAAATGAGTGGGAACAGGAAAATGTCACTTTCAAAGCTCTCTCCAACAAGGTGTTTTCCATGCATATGTTAAAACTATACAAGAGTCTTTGAAAGACACAAAGAAATAAATTTGTTTAGTGAGCCTCTGATTATTAATATCAAGCAAGGCATAAGGCAAGGAGCTATGTACTTTCCAAAGGTGTTTCTCAAGAAAGATGCCTAATCTGGGGTCCAGATTGAAGAGGGGTACCCTATAAATGGTGACAGTCTCCACATGCTTCTCTTTGTAGGTGACATTATGCTGGTTGCATTAAGCCTTGGACAACTGCAACAGTATTCTCATTAATTACCTCCACCCTATCCAATCCATTCCTAACACACATGTCCCCCCAAATCTTTATGAGGCAAAATTTGACTACGTTACTCCCCGACTCAGAAATCTTCAGTGTCTCTTTATTGCTTTGGGGATAATGTGCTATTCCTGAATCTGTCAATTAAGGTCCTCCACAATCTGGTTCCCACTCATTTTTCCTATTTCTCCTTTTCACTCTACATTCCAATCAAACTAGCCTAGTCATTAGTATGTGGACTTAGTATTCCACTCCCCATCTCTGTGGCTTTGTACGGGTGATCTCCTCCGCCCGGAACATATGGCCTCTTCAACTCTATTAGAATTGGTCACTTTCTTCAAGGTTCTTCTTCTTCCTGCCACTCCCTACATATAAACTTTACTGACCTCCCAGGTGTCAGTGCTTTCTCCCTCCCCAAATTATCTTATATTCACGTGTGCCTGTTTAGCCCCTCAGTAGAAAGCAATATCTTTAGAAGTAAAGACTGTTTTATTTTTATCTTTGGCACCTATTATAGTATCTTGTACATGATAGGTGCTCAATAAATGTTTGAATTCAACTTGAATTGGAATGTAGAAGAAAATCCTTATTCGGCATTTATGCACATATCAATTACAAACCAATTCTTAAATTGTATTTACATCAATATACCTATGCTTTTCGATAAGCATGTTTAGACCACTCTCTCTTCTACTGTACAGAAGTATCTTCTCTTTACTTCTCCAGGGACAGTAATTTGATAAGCTTTGAAGTCCCAAATTTAAAGGGCCTAGTGGAATCATAATGACTAGACTTACTTATTTAGTTTCCATTGTAATCATCAAGCTGCCAATTTTGTCTGTTCCTAATCTATTCAATATTAGGGTAGCTCGGTGGCACAGTGGATAGAGTGTTGGGCCTGAGACAGGAAGACTCATCTTCAGGATTTCAAATCTGGTCTCATATGTTTACTAGCTGTATAACCTTGAGCAAGTCATTTAACCCTGTTTGCCTCAGTTCCTCATTTGTAAAATAAGCTGGAGGAGGAAATGACAAACCACTCCAGTATCTTTGCCAAGAAAATCCCAAATGGGATCACGAAGAGTCAGACACAACTGAAATGACTGAACAACAACAATGATTCCGTCAAGTCCGAACACAGAACAAAGTAATATAACTTTTGTCCAAGAGCATTTCTTTCATTCCACCTATTCTAGCTAATGCTCTTATTACTTCTCAGAATATATGAATTACTACACTAACGAATGCAGGTAAATAGCATATATTCTTAGTAACCTTGTAGCATATATTTGTTTTTCTAACACTCACTGCAAATACAGCCAGCATGACCCAACAAGTAACTGGTTCACTAGCAGGAGACAACATCTTTTTTTTTTTTTGGCTGGTCCAGAATCTGGCTTACTTGTCTATCCTTGCCCAAATGTTCTTCCTTCACCTGTTGGCCTTCTCTGCTTAGGCATAAAGCTGGGGATCTAATTATAGACTTAGTTACATGTATGGTCACTAATTATTATTCTGTCATGACTTCCTTTTCCCCGGCACAACTCTAGTTCCATGAATTAAATGCAAGAACCATTAAAGAAACAAGACTATTTTTACCCTAGCGTTCTTAAGGAATATAAAGATTTAATTCTCAGCAGGGGAGAAGTCTTTCCAAAATTTTCTACACTTAGAAGTGAAACTATAAGAAAAATTTCCAGGATAAGGCGAGAATTCAAGAAGTTTTTGATAAAATCGCTAGAAACTATTTTTATGAAAAAAAATTATAAAGTTAGGCTATATGACTACAGAAAATGAGTTTTCATCAATTTGTAAAGCATATTTCAAATAAAGAACACCTAGACTTGCAAAGTGATAAGCATCTTTGGTCACCCTGTGTCATACTACACAATGAACAGTTCAGCATTTCTGCTATTCTCCATTTCTTACAATCTGCTGACAGTATGCCATTCTATACCCATGTCCTTTTAGCTGAATTCTAAGGTTCAAGGAAAAGGCAAAAACCTCATGAGAGCAGTATCAAATTATTACAATTTAGGGGATCATATTTTCTCTGCAAAACATAACTAGTCCTTTTATACCTTGGAATGTGGATAATTGCCATTAACGATTCTGTATTAATGCTTTACTTAAGCATATAAGTCTTCTCAAAATATCTTTGGTGGAATACTCATGTAATTGAGTTTTCTAGTTTTTCGCCCTTCCAGTTCAAAACTAGAAAGAATCCTAAAAGTCAACTAATCCCTTCTCTTCCCCGAACTCATTATAAGGAAACTTAGACCCAGAGAGACTTAACTAGCTGCGTGACCTTGGACCAGTCACTGAGCCCCAATTTCTTCATTGATAAAGTGGTGATAATGTTTGCTCTACCAACTCCACAGAGTTGTTTTAAGGATCAAATGATCTAATTTATGTAAAGCATTTCAAAGGCCATAAAGCCCCACATAAATGGAGGAGGGATTATGAGGAAGAAAACTGAAGCCCTGGGAAGTTAAGGGATTTGCCCAAGGTTCCAGAATATTATTTGCAGGCAGTGAGTATGAGAGCGTGGATTTGGACCCAAGCTTTCTGACTCCAAACCCAGTGGTCTTTCCATCCTACCACACTGGCTGCATTCTTTGAGGAAGGCAGATATGAGAACCATATTCCAGGAACAGACCACAGAATCAATGATACAGAGTGGGAAGGGACTGCAGAAGCCACCAACTATGCCCCTCATGTCAGAGAGGAGAAAGATGAGGCTTCAGAGAAGTAATTTTCTGGCTCTGAGTCACACAGACACAGGGTATGGCACAGAGTCTCACATATAAAAAGTATTTCATAAACGTCCATGGAATTGCAGGCCTTGGAGATGGGAGGAACCTTTCCCAGAGCCAAGATTAAAACTCAAAAGGTCTTTTGACTCCAAATACTATATATGTTCTTGATGCTCTACAGCTTGTGTGAATACACAAAGCCTACAGGTGAAATGCTAAGTCAGAGGGAAAGCAAGGGACAAGCATGGCTGGAATATGGGAATAACATGAAATAAGACTGGGAAGTCAGGCTGGGGTCAGACTGCGAAAGTGCCTTAAAATCCAGGCTTTTATTTGGATTTCATTCCAGGGGCAACAGGAATCCACTAAAGGCTTTCAGGGAGCAACATGGTCAAAACTGTACCTTAGGAAGACACTTTTCACACGTCCGTGGAAGCTGGATTAGAGAAGAGATCAGAAGCCAGACCAATCAGTAGGTTACTGTACTTGTCCACATGAAAGATGGTCTGGACCTGACCTACAGTGGCTGTCACATGAATGGAGAGAAGGTAAGGAACCAGAGAGATGGATGGAGGCACAGTTGTTCAGACTCAGAAATAGCCCTTGAGATCAGAAAAGATTAGATCAGTGGCAGAGATTTGAAAGCTGTTGATGTAAAGATGACAGTTGAATCCTTGGGAGCTAAGAGAAGGTAAAGTGCGTAAAAGGCCTAGGAAAAGTCTTATGGTGGGGCAGCTAGGTGGTGCAGTGGATAGAGCACTGGCCCTGAAGTCAGGAGTACCTGTCAAATCTGGCCTCAGACCAAACACTTGAACACTTACTAGCTGTGTGACCCTGGGCAAGTCACTTAACTCCAACTGCCTTAAAAAAAAAAAAGAAAGAAAAGAAAAGTCTTATGGTACACTTATACTCAGCAGAGCTATGGTTAAATAATGATTCAGCAAAACTGACTAAAAAAGAATGGAGCGAGAGAAAGGTGGTAGAAGAATCTGGAGAAATCAGTATGATGGAAGCCAAGGGAGGAGAGAACATCAGCTCCACACTCTCATTCAACCTACATACCCAAACTATTGTCAAATCCTGGCATTTATGCCTTCACAACATCTCTTGTGGATGTCCCCTTCTCTTCATTCAAACCACTACCACCCTAGTTCAGGTACTTACCACCTCTCACCTGGATTATTATTACAGCTTTCTAATTGGTCTCCTTGCCTGAAGTCTCAATCCAGTCAAATCATCCATTTCTCACTGCCAAAGGGACTTTCCTAAAAGGAAAGTCTGACCGTGTGATGACTTGCTCCCCCCAATAAATTCCACTGGCTCCTTACTACTTTCAGGATTAAAGATAAAATTCTCTATCTGGCTTCTTCATGGCCTGGCTCCTTGTAACCTTCTTCTGATTTGCTTATTTCCACAAATTCTTATCACTTAGCTATACTCTCCTTGTTGGTGATCCTCACACAGGGCATTCTTCTTCCTCTGTCTGTCCCCCAGCCACGGCTGTCCCCCATGGATGCACTGGAATGCAAGGCCTCCTCACACCTGCTACTTCTCTTTCCTGATTTTCTTCAAGTCTCAGCTAACATGCCACCTTCTACAGGAGGCTTTTCCTGGTCTCCCTAGCTGCTGTGGCTTCCTCTCTGAGATTACTTCCCAGATACTCTGTGTATATCTCATATGTACTCAATTATTTAAATGGTATCTCCCCTCCCCCTAAAATGTGAGCTCTTTGAAGAGACTTTTTTAACCTTTCTTTGCATTCCCAGTGCCTGGCATACAGTAAGCACTTAATAAATGCTATTTGATTGAAAAACCAAAGAGAGGTTCAAGAGGAGGACTGAGAAACGGCCATTTGATTTAGAAGATTTTTTTGTTCAGTCTTTTCAGTTGTGTCCAAATTTTCATGACCCAATTTGGGTTTTTCTTGGCAAAGATACTGGAGTGGTTTGCCATTTTCTTCTCCAGTTCATTTGATTGATGAAGAAACTGAGGCAAATAGGGTTCAGTGACTTGCCCATGGTTACACGGCTAGTAAATGTACGAGGCCAGATGTGAGCTCAGAAAGATGAATTTTTCCGACGGCAGGCCCAGTACTCTGTGCACTGTGGCGCCACCTAGCCGAAGATTAGAGATTGCTTAAAACTTTCAATGACTACAGATGACTCTTTTTAGGAGTCTGGCAATGAAAGGGAGGAGAGCTATAGGATGATTGTGTGAGAAGATGGCAGGATTAAGCAAAGGCTTTTAAAGGACAGGAGAAACCGATGCAAATTTGTAGGTAGCAGGAAGAAGCCAGTACAGGGAAACTGGAGACTGGGGTGGCAGGAAGAACATAATTGATAGGGCAAGATCTGGGAAGGCAATATCAAGGATAAAAACAAAGGGATTAGACTGGATAAGAAGAAAGAGAAAAATGAGTCGTGGTGTGGGGGAGAAACAGGAGTTTTTTTTAACAACATTAGCAGATTCAGTATTTTCCCAAGTATAATGTGATGAATATACATTATAAACAAATTAGTGAACCAAAGCAAATGTTTACTCCTAAAAGAAATCTGCTCTTCTAAGTGCAACAATTAAAAAATAAATACTTACTGTTATTTGCAACAGTCAGGCAAATAAATGAGCAAATAGGGCGAATTATCTCAGGTTTTACACAGCTCTGTAGCCATTTATTTGCATGTTGAAAAACTGAACTGCAAATTTTCTGGTTGACATCTAAAAGAAATTAAAATCAAATATGATTTATTTTAGCCTGGCTAAAAATTTTCTATTTGAAGTGTGAATTATTAGTAATTAGATTTCCATTTTTGTTTTTAGGTTTATTTTCACAACTAAAAGTCAAGTTCAGCAAACATTTAAGCGTATATTGTGTACAACAACTATGTTAGACACAGAAGAAAATAGATTAAAGATGATATGGTATATGCTTTGAAGGAGCTTATAGCTTGAATAGAAGGTGAGAAAGGTTGAAGAGAAGGAAAAGACATTCCAGCTAATTATCAAATTAAACACTTGAGATCATTACCATTCTGTGGATTATTTACACATGCACACAAAGCACTGCACACCGAAGACCACAGCTGATAATTCTGGTAAATGGTTTCATTTGACAAATCCATCTCAGACATGGAAAGAGCTGTTCTATTAGGGAACAAGCAAATACAATGACTTAAAATGTACTGATGACTGAAATGTCAGTTACTTATTAACAAATATCTTACATCTGCTCACCTAAAAAACTGTAGCAGGATACCAACACAACCTGTTTCTCTCACAAGAGTCTGCCCAGCCCCTAAAAATAAGCATAGAATGATTTGATGACCCACGTTATTCTCTAATAGTCTTCAACAAGCACTGTTCAGATCAACACCCTCTCAACCTCCCAGAAAATGACCAGTTCTAATTTTATATTTTTCTATTTAGAAAATGGAGAAGCCAGGATCATAAAATTCAAAGCCAGAATTATTTTAAAAATAATTTAGTCCAATCGTCTCACTTAACAAAGGAGAAAAATAGGTCACAAGAGGTAGGTCACATAAATAGCAGGTAGCAGACCTAAGATTTCAACACAGGTTCCCCTGGTTCCAAGTCCATTACACCACGCATTTACCCTTCTTTGGGTAAGTTCTATTTTAAGGAAGAAAAGTCTGGAAGCTATCTGCTAAGAGCAATTAAGATGAAATTTTATGAATCGAATGTAGCAATCCTCAAACTCAGCCCTTGGTAAAGTACCTTAGGAAAATATACACTCTAAGACTATGTCTACAAAAATGCCTAAACAACCTATCAATTGGGGGGGAAATCAGTGCCAGTCATTTACTACTAAAACAGTCATTTAGTCATATGTGGACAAAACAACTTGTTGACTGACTGATGGACCTGAGTGCACGTGTGTGTGTGTGTGTGTGTGTGTGTGTGTGTGTGTGTGTGTGTGTACAAAGAACTCACATTATTTCACTTCTCTTAATATTAAGAATATTGAGATAATGTGTTCTTAATTTTCTTCTAACATCTTTCAGAAGTTAGTGAGACAAAAAGAATTCTGAAGAATCAGAATTAAAGGGTTGAGAAAAAATAAAGCTATTAAATTTTAATTTTAAAATGAGGCATTAATATTGAAAATGTTTTTCTAATACAGCAAAAAAGATACCTACTGTTATTTGAAACCAGGACTAACATCACATAAACAGACATTCTTTTCAAATTGATGTTAGATTCATACTTAGATAGAAACCAAATAATGTCTTCAAAAAATTCTGAAGTGCACAAAGTTTGCTGACAATAAACTGAAAGAAAAAATGCAAAATTTAAATTACTTCACAGAAGTATCAATTTAAAAAATGAACATAATTATTTATTCAACAGGTGAATATACTTACTTTCATGAATGTATAGATTAGCCATATATTTCTATTATGCTACATAATTTCTACTATAACTGATTAGCAATGATTTAATTGGTAGACCTGAGCGACCGCTATCCAAGGCAAGTGTATTTAAGTGATCCTCAAAAATGGCTCCATTGCCCTTAAAAGGTATCCATCGTGTTGAAAATTTGAACAAATGAAAACTCAAAATAAAATCAGAAAAAAATCCTTAATGAGTTTAGGAAACAAAAAGCAGACAAGAAGTTTAAGAGTGAACCTCTTAACCTCATGTTAGGAAATAATAAGACCAACTACACTGGTGCTATTTCCCTATCACTTTTAAAAAGTGATCATCCTCTGGCATCTTCCTTTCTTACCGTAATAATTCAGTTAAGAGAGGCAGTTCGGTGGAATGGAAAGAGAGCTGGCCTTGCAGTCAGAAAGGTCCTGGGTTCAAGTCCTACCTGTGATACTTATGGTTGTGTGAGCTTGGGCCACACATTTAACCTCTTCTTGTCCCAGGGGACTAAGACTATGAGCTTCTACGTAGGGGCTGATCTGCTAATAGGAGCTCCCTACCCTGGCAAAATCAGAGGTCCACCAAACATATGCAATACGCTTTTTAAAATAATTTGGGGATTAAAATACGCCCAACTATATCCCTTATTAGACAATAAATTCCAAGAGGAAAGAGAACATGTTTTATTTAACTACCTAGCTTTTCCTCAGCTGCTTAATATACTGAATGGAAAACAGAAGGTGCTTAATATATGTATGTTTAATGGATGAATTCAACACAGGTCGTAGAACCAGTCACCAAAATATTGTAGGAATTTAAAGTTGGTTAGATATAATGGTAAATTATTGCAACATGAGAAATGTCAAACATGAAAAATGAAAATAAACTGTAAACAACTCAAGCTTGAAGTTTCACATGTGATCTTTAAAAAAATGTGCATTTAAAATTTTCTGTAGATGGCAACTAATTTTAGAATAAAGATAATTTTTAAAGGAACAAGTGGGGAGAAATAAAGCTGAGGTGATAAACTGCTAGTTTAGCTTCAAATTAAGTTTTATCTGCAGATAAAAATAGCATTTCAAAAAATATTTTATGCTTTATGGTATGTATACCCCAGTACTGGGCAGTTTTAAGTCTTTGAAAAATTTTTTTTTTACTAAAACAGCACCCATAGAAAGCTATTTAGTGTGAAAACTAAGGAAAAAGTATAATTTTAAAATATTTGCTGGCATTATAGTAATATAACAGAATATTTAAATAATAATAAAATAATAAAGTAACATTTTACCATCACGTTCTGCAATAGCTCCTAATGTAAATAAGGCTGCTTCTTTTACCATGCTGTGAATGCTTGACTTGGCAAGATTTTTTACAAACATCAAACCACCAATCTCTCGAAAATAAATACTTGCATAACCTAAAGGATTGTAAACAAAATAAAAGAAAAACTACATTTATCTAATGATTCTCTTAGGACAAAATAAAGTCCGTAATGATAATAATGTGACAACATATAGGAAATATAGAGAATATAGAGAATTACATATTATTGCACTGAAATAGCACATTAAATGAAAATCCCTAATGAAATGTTAACACATTTTCTTACTGTTTTGCTGACACACTGAATAAATAGTAACCAAAGCCTCCTTTTGTGAAGATGGGTTGTCCATTTGATATTTAAGACATTCTAACAATAAATTCAGGTCAGTCTTCATTTCTAAAAGAAAACACATGTTTTATGAGTTCTAATTATTTTAGCCAAAAAGGTTTCAACTAATTATTTTTTCTTTTTTATGTGACAATCCTTTGAAGACAAGAAAATAAAACATAAAAACATACTCCTTTTAAGGAACACAGAAGCTATTATGAACCTACCCAGCAGTAGATACTTAATTGGATGCTCATAAGAGTCTGTGAATTCCACAATGCACTGTTCTTAATTATAAGAACTTAATTTAAGTACATAATTTGCTGTTATTTCTTATACAAGCCTTTATTATATTGCTCAAATTTTTTCCCTTAGTATTTTACCTGTAGAAGCAGCTAAATGGCGCAGTGGATAGAGAGCCAGGCTCAGAATCAGGAAGACTGCTCTTCCTGATTTCACCTCTGGCCTCATATATTTACTAGCTGTATAACCCTGGGCAAGTCACTTAATCCTATTTGCCTCAGTTTCCTCATCTGTAAAAAGAGCTGTAAAAGGAAATGGCAAACCACTCCAGTATCTTTGCAAAGAAAACCCCAAATGGGGTCACAAACAGTTGAATAAGACTGAAATGACTGAACAACAAAAACAAAAATTTTTTAAATTAAACTGGCACCCATAAAAAGTCACTCAAAAAAGTGAAAACTAAGAAAAGGAATTCAATTTTTAAATAGTGGGAAAACTAATAGAATGGTTAAATAATAAAATAATAAAGTAAAACTTTACATTCTACAACAGCTCCTAATGTAAATAAGGCTGCTTCTTTTACCATGCTGTAAATGATTGACTTTGTAAGGTTTTTTACAAATAACAAGTCATCAATCTTGCATGTTTAAGTTTTCTCAGAAATATAGGGTCCAATAGTATTGACACAGAGTGAAGAAATCAGAACCAGTAAGTGAACATATTCAATGTCTAGAAAACTTTTAACAGCTATACTCAGATTTTCTGCAATGATCAATCTTGGTTCCAGAAAACAGATGACGAAACACACTTCTTTTCTTTCAGTAAAGAGGTTTAAGAAACTATAGGGGTAGAATGTTGCATACCCTGCCAGACAGGGTTATTTGTTGACGGATTTTGCTTAATTGTTTTTCTTTGTGAAAAAGGAAGATTCAATTGGAGAAAGAGTATATCGAGAAATGATTACAATGTAAAAAACAAAAGGTATCCAAAAAACACTTTAAAGATGTGTCAAAATACTATACACTAAAAAAAACCTAAGATATCAATGGATGCTTAGTCTTCTACTTTAAAAAAAAATCAGTCTAATAATTTGGTATAATGAAGCAAAATTATACATGTAATAAATAATTAAATTAACTACTGAGAATCTGATAATAGAAAAGCTATCACCAGGTCTTCATTTCCTAGAATAGGGGTTCTTAACCTGATGCCTGTGCACTTGCTCTTTTTAAAAAAAATATTTTGGTAACTGTGTTTCAACATAATTGGTTTTCTTTGTAACCCTATCTATTTGATTTTATAAATTTAAAACTATTCTGTGAAGGGGTCTAGCCTTTAACAGATTGCCAAAAGGGGCCATGACACAAAAAGAGACCCTTTCCTAGAATGAAAAATTCTTTTTAACAAGATTGTTTTGGGTACAGCCATACTAGGCATCAATAACTTCTTTTAACTTAATTTTGTTTTAATTTTTACAGTATTTTTTCCAATTACACGTAAAGACAATTCTTATCGTTCATTTTTTATAAAATTTTGAGCTCCAAATTTTCTCCCTCCCAACCTCCCTAAGATCATAAACAATTTGATACAGGTTATATATGTGCAATCATGTAAAACATATTTCTATATTAGTCATGTTGTGAAAGAAGAAACAGTTTGCAATAGGGAAAAAAATCACAAAAAACTCCAGTGAAAATAGTATGCTTTAATCTGCATTCAAACTCCATCAGTTCTTTCTCCGGATGTGGATACCATCTTTCATCATGAATCTTTTGGAATTGTCTTGGATCATTTCATTGCTGGATCAAAGAGTATGCACAGTTTGATTGCCCTTTAGGCATAGTTTCCAAATTGCTCTCCAGAATGGTTGGATCAGTTCACAACTCTACCAACAATGAAATGGTATCCCAATTTTCCCACATCCTTTCCAACATTTATCATTTTCCTTTTCTGTTATATTAGCCAATGTGCGAGGTGATACCTCAAAGTCATTTCAATTTACATTTCTCTAATTAAAAGTGATTTAAGAGGATTTTTCATATGACTGTAGATAGCTTTGATTTGTTTCTGAAAACTCTTATCATTTGACCATTTATCAACTTGAAAAAGACTTGTATTCTTATAAATTTGACTCAGTTACCTACATATTTGACAAATGATGCCTTTATCAGAGACACTTGTAAAAATAGTTTCTCAGCTTTCTATACATCAATAACTTAAAATGCCAAAGATGACTTCTGCTATTAAGACTCAAAGTAAGACTGCAAAGTAGAGGAAGTTTTCTTCCTCAATTTCCCTTCTTTAATCGCTCTCACTTTCGGTCACTCTGTTCCATCCAACCCTCAAGTATCCAGTGCCCTCACACTACTCTCTAGACATCTAAAGTCCCACTCTGTGGTAGTCTACCCAATTTGCCTTTCATGAAAAATGTGCCAAGTCTAGAGTTATTAATCCCTCTTCCTCCAGCTCTGATTAGGACTTTCTTCCATCAGTAAAGTAAAAAACAATTATCATTAGCAATCAAGGTAAAGTAAATATGACTTAATCCTCTAAAGAATATTTGCTTTTGGAAGGCCTCAAAATCTTTATGGTATCTCTTATCAGTAGAATATATTGCAGAGATTTTTGAAGATGGGGACCTTCCTAGGTTCCTTACCTACTTTGGGCCATTATTCTACCAGCTAGCATTTCTCTTCCTAAAGTGGTCCCATCAAGTAAGAAAAGCAGAAACTAGCAATTTGGCCTCCTGCTTCCAAAAGGCTGCAAACAGCTAGGCAAGACACTCCTTGGTAAGAGATACAACAGTCACTTTTATAATTTGGGGGAATTACAGGAATTGTTTCAAAAAGTAGGAATATGTAAATTTATAAAAATGTAATAAACTAAGCTTCTACTTTAATAACAACCTCACTGAAAATTAAAAACACCAACATTGGTAATTGAGTTTGTACATCAATAATAACGTCCCTGTATTTTAATAATGACCACAATGCCTACTATAAATTCTTGGATAAATTGGCTCTTGTGAATCCTCCTAATCCCAAAAGATTAACAAAGTGTTTATGGGGTAGATTATCACTGCTTCCACTTCAGTAGCTACTTCACAAACTTAGGAAATGGTGTTAACTTAAATCATAGATTAGAACCTTTTATTGAAGTATAAGCCATATAATTTTAATCTACTTACCAATTTTTATAGAAACCTGTTTGTTCTTCAGAACTAGTTTCAAAGCAAACAATGGTGATATTTAACAAGTATTCCTAAAATCAGCTCACTATGAAAATAGAAAATTTATTGGATTCTTAAAGAAAATGATAAACTAAAAAAAGGTAAACTTCTATAATATAAATTAGGAGTTTCATTTTTAAGATAATCAAGTTTAGAGTTAGAATAGCTTTTAGAGATAATCTGTTCCTCTGCCCTCTTTTTACAAAAGACCCAGAAGTTTAAATTGGGGGTGCTGTAGAAGGGTTCGATCGGGTAGAGTTGAATTATATGATCTGAGGTCCCTTCTATCCCTGAGACTGCAAAGTGGAACAGCACTCTGCTATACTGGACAGCGATGGATTTATAGTCAAGGAGACATGAGTCTGAACCCTATTTCAAACACGTCCTATGTAACCACAGGAAAAAACACCTATCTCTGAGCCTTTCTATTCATCTGTTAAAGTGAGGAGAACTGTGCCTGGAATACTCGCCTCACAGAGTTGTTGTGAAGCTCACATGAGAAAATGAGTGACCAATGTTTTGAACATCTTAAAGTGCTGTTGTAATGAATAATAAATGAGAATAAAGCTATTGTAATGAATAATACCAAATTATTTACCCAAGAGCACATGGGAAGCAATTAGCAGAGTTGGAATTTAAACCCAGCTACTTTGACTCCAAATCCAATGCTTTATCTCATTAAGTGGCAGTAATCAGGGCTGAGCACTGCACCAAATGCTGAGGACACAAAGACTAACCCTGTCCTCAAGGAGCTCACATTTTTTTTTCCAGTTCTGCTCCTGTGACTTAATTTTTAAAAAAAATTTTTATTAATTAACTTATTTTTAGTTTTCAACATTCACTTTCATAAGCTTTCAAGTTTTAAATTTTCTTCCCCTCCTTTCCCTTCTCCCTCCCCAAAACAGCGCACAATCTGATATAGGCTCCACATTTACATTCCTATTAAACATATTTTCACATTAGTCATGTTGTAAAGAAGTATTAGAACCAATAGGAGGAACCACAAGAAAGAAGAAACAAAACAGAAGGAAAAAAGAGCAAATAATGTGCTTCGATCTGCATTCAGACTCCATAGTTCTTTCACTGGAGGTGGATAGCATTTTCCATCATGAGACTTTTGGAGATGTCTTAGATCCTTGCAATTGCTGAGAAGAGCTAAGTCAATCAAAGTTAGTCATTGCACAATGTGGCTGTTACTGTGTACAATGTTCTCCTGGTTCTGCTCATTTCACTCAGCACCGGTCCATACAAGTCTTTCCAGGTTTTTCTGAAATCTGCCTGCTCATCATATTCTTATAGCACAATAATATACCATTACATTCATATACCACAACTTGTTCAGCCATTCCCTAATGGACAGGCATCCCCTCAATTTCCAATTCTTTGTCACCACAGAAAGAGCTGCTATAAATATTTTTGTACATGTGGGTCCATTTCCTGTTTTTATGCTCTCTTTGGGATACAGCCCTAGAAGTGGTATTGCTGGGTCAAAGGGTATGCACATTTTTATTTGGGCATAGTTCCAAATTGCTTTCCAAAATGGTTGGATCATTTCACAACTCCACCAACAATGCATTAGTGTTCCGATTTTCCCACATCTTCTCCAGCATTTATCATTTTCCTGTTTTGTCATGTTGGTCATTTTGATAGGCATGATGTGGTACCTGAGAGTTGTTTTGATTTGAATTTCTCTAATCAATAGTGATTGAGAGCATTTTTTCATATGACTATAGATAGCTTTAATTTCTTCATCTGAAAACTACCTGTTCATATCCTTTGACCATTTATCAATTGTGGAATGACTTGTATTCTTATAAATTTGACTTAGTTCTCTACATATTCTAGAAATGAGGCCTTTATCAGAGACATTGGCTGTAAAAATTTTCAGTTTTCTGCTTCCCTCCTAATCTTGGTTGCATTGGCTTTGTTTATGCAAAAACTTTTCAACTTAATGTAATCAAAATTATCCTTTTGCATTTCATGATGTTCTCTATCTCTTGTTTGGTCATAAATTCTTCGGTTCAAGGAGCTCACATTTTAATGGAGGAGACAAAATGAAAAGAACTAGAGACACAGAAAATCCATACAGAGCAGATGGGGAAGGCTAGCAGCTGGGGGGACCAGGAAAGGCCTCCTGCAGCAGGTGGGATGGGACTTGAAGGAAGCCAGAGAAAGTAGGACAAGAAGAGGGAGAACATGGGGGACACACAACACAAAGACACAGAGATGAGAGCTAGAATGTCCTGCAATAGGAATAGCAGAAAGGCCATTGTGCCTAGATCACAAAGTTCATGGAAGAGAGTAAAGTATAAGAAAACTAGAAGGCTAGGAGAGGCCAGGTTATGAAGAGATTCAAGTGATAAAGAAAATATTTTCTATTTGATCCTGGGAGTAAGATGGGATCACTGGATTTCTCTCTCTTTCTCTCTCTCAGGGGGTGGAGGTGGGGCCAGTGGTGTGGTTATAATCAGTCCTAAACTTTAGGAAAATCACTTTGGTAGTTAAGTGGAAAATGGATTGAAGTGGGACGAGGCTTAAGGCAAGGAGACCAATTTGACTACTGCAATAGTCTAGGCAAGTGGTGATGAGGCTCTGAATTAGGATGGTGGCCTTGTGAGTACAGAGAAAGGAACATATACAAGGGATGTCATGAAGGTCTACCAAGATTTGACAAGACTGGATGTAGATGGGTTCAGTGAGAACAAAGATTTGAGGATGACACCAAGGTTGTAAGGCTGAGTGACTGAGAGGACGATAGTATTAGGAAAGTTACATGATCCTCCATAGTCATAGGGGAGCTAAGTAGAGGAATCAGAGGAGGGGGAGCAGGGAAGATGAGTTCATTATTGGACAGACTGAGTCTGATGTCTTATAGGCAGTAGGAGGTGTGAGGCCAGGGATCAGGAGTGAAGCTAGGGTTAGATATAGAGATTTGGAATCATCTGCATACAAATAACTGAATCCATGACAGCTGAAAAGCATTGAACCAAATAGTATAGAAGGAGAAGGGAACATAGGGCAGAGGGCTGCTTAGGGGTCATCTGGTCCAATTCTTTCACTTTACAGATAAAGAAATGTAGGCCTAGAGAGGTTATAACTTCTCCTAGGTTTCACAGGCAAAAAGCAGAAAGCAGGGATTTAAAATCAGGTCCTCTAATTCCAAATCCAACATTCTTTCCATTGCAGGTGCTTATTAAATGTTTGCTGATTGAATTAACTATAGAAAGCTAATAATGCTAAATAAAACACATTTAGGGGGCAGCCAGGTGGCGAAGTGGATAGAGCACCGGCCCTGAAGTCAGGAGGACCTGAGTTCAAATCCAGCCTCAGACCAAACACTTGACACTTACTAGCTGTGTGACCCTGGACAAGTCACTCAACCCCAATTGCCTAAAAGAAAAAAATATATAAAAAAAAAACAACAAAAAAACACATTTAACAAAAACATGAAATCTGATTCAAGAACACAAACTGAGTTTCCCACCTTGGGTCTTCTTTATCTCATCTTTTTCCATTTTTTATTTTCTCAAGCTTCACCTATAAGAGAGACATTTTATCAATTCAAATCCACAGTGCTTCAAATGATTGCAAATACAGTAAAAGTATGTCAAGAGCGCCAAGCTAACTTCCTCTAGCTCCTTTCCCTTGACTGTCCATCTCTGAATTATTGATCCCACTGCTACAGCAGAGTTGCTTTACCATCCTCCTCTAGAGAAGCAAGACAGGAATTCACAAAAACCTTCAGATTAGCTTTTCTAGGACCTGCTTCTCTAAGACGAAATATAATTTCCAATTTTGCCACCATAATGTACACAGGGAGGAAATCATTTAGTGTAAATGGAATTTCTGACTTTCCATACTCAGTTCTATCACACTTTTTAACAAAGTTATATAGTATGTATAGTGTTCATTCTCTTTATTTTACATACAGAGTATTTTAAGAAATGGGAGTTCAATAAGCAGCAAGTTAGTTGTTGTAAAATTCCAATTTTACATGATTAATGTCACTTTTGTAATTAACTTTCCTGTTTTTCAATTCTCACAATTTCCTAATTAAAATACTACTAGTAAATGTTTTCACTGATCTTTTTACTGATGAAAAACTGGAGAAGTAATTTTATGGGGAAACTGCTTTGATAAGTGAAATGAACTTTAGCTGCCACAAAACACTGAATCACTTAGAGGAAGTCACTTCCCCTCTCTGGGCCTCAGTTACATTATTTGTAAAATACGGAGTTAGACTAGATCTTCTGGTTCTGAATTCTATGATTCTTCACCCCATTTCCTATCCCTCTAAGTCAAACAGGAAATTAGTAGCCTCAGTTCCCTTTTGTGATCATGCCAAGTTTTTTCTTACTTGTTGTCCGTACCTTATTCATACTAAAATCATAATTCTCATTTTCCCATCTTTGTGATCTCCAACAAACACAAGCAAGGTTTAACTTGAGAAAATGTACATGAAAAATTAAGTAAATGACGACTATCCAGGATTTAGCAGTAATGATTCAAAAAAAGCCTTATACTTGCTAAAGCATTGAAAGAGTTCAAACTATTAAGCTAATCATACTTCTAAAGGGCACTGATAATTACTGTAAAGATGACATTACATTGCCTGTTTACCCCCCAAAAAGGAAACTCTCACCCAAAACTATTATAAGTGTGATGTTAGAGCAGTTTAATTCTCTAAACATTAACAGAAGCAGTTGGATATTAAGTTTTGGTTTTGTTCTTATGGAACAAGGTTTCTCCTCAGTAGCAGAAGGACACAGAGGATCACAGCGTAACTGAGACCTGGGGAAGGTAAAGTGACTTGCTTGAGGTTACATGGGTAGTAAACAGACCCCACCTGTCCTTTTCTTCCAATGTGGTTTCAAAAATAACTCTCCAGCCTCCCAATTTATAGTTTGAAGTATAGCATTGCCAGGAATCTCAAAAATGTAACAAGGAAAACCATGTTCCCTGGTGCTGTTAGAAAAATACATCTCCAATGTTTATTAAAGTCCACGGAAACAGCTATTTTTCCTCAAAAACCTTAGGAAAGTAACTATTTTCTAATATATAAAAATTAGCACATTTAGTACTAAAGTCCTAAGAAGTCTATGTTTGTAGTTTGTAATTCCCCTATTCTCATTTAGTCTTTCAAAGGTTGGGACTGAAAACCCAAACGAGGGAAATTTTATGGAGGAAAAAAGTCTTCAATTTCTTCTTCAAAATTGCTTTATGGACCACAGACAATAAGAGAAGATAAGAATATTCTTATATTCAAAATATTCAAGTAAAGATGATTTGACATTGTTCTTCTGTTAAAACTGCTAATCACTAGAAAACATGTTTGAACCAATCAATCAGTAGATAAGCATTAAGAGCTTATATGTGTCAAGCACTGTGCTAGATACTAGGGATGCAAAGACAAAAATGACAGCTGCTGCTCTCAAAGAGATTACATTATATAGTGAGAGACAATATGTACTTATATAATTACATATAAAATAAATAAAAGGTAATTTGTGGGGAGTAAGGCACTAGCAGCTGAGATCAGAAAAGGCTTCATTACAAAGTAAAATTCCAGGCATGGGAGATGGAGACAGGAGATGGTGTGCTGTGTGTAAGGCTCTTTTGGCTGGACTAGAGAGTTTGTAGAGGAGTTATGTACATTAAGGCCGGAAAGGCAGACTGAAGTCACATTGTGAAGGGCTTTAAATACTAACAGAGAAGTTTGTATTTGACCCCAAAGATATTAGAGCATTTTTGAAGTTTATTGAATAAGATAATTACATGGTCAGAACTGGGCTTTAAAAAAATCAGCTTGTTAGCCATGTGAAGGGTGAATTGGAGGGAAGACAGACTTTAGGCAAGCAGACAAGATTTCTGTTCTGACATGTGGAGATATGTCATCAAAGTGGTTTCAAATGAAGGGGCTATACAAAAATTCACAAGATACACTACCTGACTTATTTACCAGACCATCTGTATTGTACTTATTCCACAGTCTTCCCACAGTGGTCATTATAAATTTAATCCCATCCTTTCACTTGGCCTTTTTTCAATATTCCTTCAGGATTTTCCCTTTCCTTTGCAGAGTCCAAATGGAAGAGGGGTTCACTAGCGATGGTGAAGTCCTCCAGATGCTCCTGCTTGTGGATAATATTTTGATAATTGCAACAATCCTAAAATACTACAGGGACTCAATGAGACTCAAAGCTATTAAAAAGATATCAGCTTAGCAGGTAATAATAAATTCATGAAAAATGCCTACTGCTCACAACCCAACAAGCTGTTGGATAGTCAGCCCATTGAATTAGTCTATCACTGACAGGTACTGAAAACAGATGAGCTGGACGCAAAATTGAACAGAAGGAGGTGGGTAGGTTGGATTTTATTTTGGAAATTTCAAAAGGTGCTTTCAAAAATCACAAACTGCAACCTGACACAAAACTCATTTTTAAAAACGCTAACATTTTCCCTACAATGTAGCTACTTATCAAGGAACACTACAACATCCAAAATAAAGATAAAAATTATGGATGACCCAAAGGGCAAAGCAATGACATATATAGTCAGTATAAGTAAAATGAAGCCTAATCCCAGGAAGTTATCAGTAAGGAAATACACTGAAGGACGAGAACACAGTAGATAAGTCATGTGGAAGAATAAAAGATAATAGATGAAAAACCTGAATGTTGCAATGATACCCATGAAATATTTTTTAAAAAACAAACCCTGAAGGCCTGTACTGAGTTGTGTGGGATTCTCTAGGGGGAATTTATGGAAGGTCATGGACAAGAATCATAGCCTGGGGGCAGCTAGGTGGCGCAGTGGATGGAGCACGGGCCCTGGATTCAGGAGGACCTGAGTTCAAATCCGGCCTCAGACACATACCACTTACTAGCTGTGTGACCCTGGGCAAGTCACTTAACCCCATTGCCTAGCCAAAAAAAAAAAAAAAAGACATAGTCTGAAAAGGCATGGACAGATTGAGATCTGCCTCAATGCAGCGAGTATCCACACCGATGAGACCAAAGATTCCTTAGCCAAGAATCCTATGAAGGAAATGTTCTTACTCTAAAGTCCTCAGATTGATTTAGGGGGTTGTAAACTTGGATGGGAAAAGAATTATATCTTTATTTTCATTAACCTTTAGCTAAAATTTAGCTTTTCTTCCATCATGAATTTTTAAAAAAATCATTATTCTGAGAAAGGTGCCATAGGTTTCTCTAGACTGCCTAAAGGGGCCCTAAAGAAAAGTTTACTAAGTCCTCTAAAGGTTCTAAAAATGATTTCTTGATCAATGATCTGAATAAAGAGCTTCCAGAAACTGGAACATGGTAGAAATATCACTAAGCTGGGAGTCAGAAGTTTACAATCCTAGTCCAGGCCTGTCACTAACAGGCCAGCCTCAGTGACCCTGGCCAGGTCCCTTCTCTTAGGTTGTGGGCTCAGAGGAGGAAGACCAGCATTTGAACCCTAGCCTTGACACTCCCTTGCTGTATGACTGTGAAAATCATTTCATTTCTTCAGACTTCAGTTTCCTCTTCTGCAAAACTGTGATAGTAAAATTTGTACTACTATCTACAACGGCTGTTGTGAAGAAAGCACTTTATTAATCTTAAAAAACACTGTGTAATTATTCACCTCTCTGGGTCTTAAGTTTCCCAATTTATCTAAAAATGAAGGGCTTGGACAAGATGACAAGTTCTAACATTCTGCAACTATCAGGGTATCTTCCTCTTAATCCCTAAGCTGTAGCCGTAGGCCATCACCCTCCTGTGTTCTATGGAAAACTAAGTTCTCATCACCAAGGGATGTACCTTAGTTCAAGTCACTCCCGTCTTCTAAAGAAGGGCCAATCCCACAAGTGCCTCACTCCATCACCTCACTTGAAATAACAATAATATAATATGTAGCATTTATACGGTCCTTTATAGTTTATAAAGGCTTTACAAATACTATCTCATCACATTCTCAGCACCACCCTGGGAGAAAGGTGCTATTATCATCATCCCTATTTTACAAATGAGGAAACTGAAAATCAGAGCTAGCATCTGAAACTGAATTTTAAGTTGAGTCTTTCTCACTCCAGGTCCATTGGGAACATCTAGCTGCTTATTTCAAATACATCCTGGATCCAGTCCTCCCTATCTCAACACAGGGCCTCCAACCACTCCACCCCTTACCAGGCAGTGGCTAAAAGGGTTCCCCCTCCAACGGATGCCTCCTTGGTGACGGCCCTCTCCTGGCCTACCTTGGCTGGCTAGTCCTCAGATGGCAGAAGCCACCCTCCACCCCATTTTGGGCTCGCAGCCCATGCCAGCGTTTGGTCAGGTGATCAGGAAGCCAGGGTCGTCAGGGAGGGCTTTGGGGAAGGGAGGGCCTGGGGGAAGCCGTGATGCTCAACCGCACCCCTCCCCCCAAGGCCTTTCCAGGGTGGGAAAGGGTGTCCTCTCGCACAGGACGAGTTGGGCCTCCCTTTCTTCCTCTGTATGAGGAAGAGCAGAGGGGAACTACTGTACCTGCC